CTTACAGTGATGATTGACAGGCACATGACTTACAAATTCAATGCATCAACATCATTTGTTCATCTTATTAGTCTTCTTTCATCATATAATCTATATAGCAAATCTGCTGTTGCTTTTCTAAACACACATAATCTAATGCGTGTCTGTTCTTCAAAAGAAAGGATACTTTCTCAGTTGTGCTTGTTAAAAGTTTCTTCCATTTTTTTCCCCCCAAATCAAGGTTTAGAGGATGGTTTCTGCTGTAAAGATGGTAGCCCCTTGTGGCAAATTTGCTATGCAGGGTTATATAAATACAATTTACTTGACTTGGGAAAGTGGTTGTAAAAAAAACTTTGCTTTTTTTGTATTTTGTTCCATTAGGATCTTCTGGATCTAGCTCGTTGGAAGATACTGATCCAGCAGTTCCGATATGACAACTACAGACTGCATCAGCTGGGAAACAACTCTGTCTTCACTATCACTCTACAGGCTGGTCTGTCTGCCATCAAGACACCGTATCCTTTGAGTCAAGTGTTTAGTTACTCATCCCATGTGATTTTTCACTCCTTAAACTGTCTAAGAATGCAGAGCATGACATTGTTCTAAAGGGAATAAAGTAAACAGACACATGTTTTGAACCAAAGACAAAATGAAGTAGTGAGCTTCTGCTAGTTTTGTGGTGTGTACCTTGTGGCTAACAGGGATTTGGTGAGGATTTTATCACACATGACAGTTTTTCTTATTTGATATCTCTGCTCATCGCTGTCTAATTGACGGCTCGCACTACAGCAGTTGTAAAATCCTAACAAATTAAAATGGGGTTGCATTAAGCACATGAGGAAAAACTTAAGATGTTTTTGCCTTAAATCTCAGACATAGAGACAAGATTTGAAAATAGCAGTGTGTCACCCGACAGGATACGATTAGGATTATTGTGGCAGAGGGAGCAGTGTATCAACCCACAGATCTTAAAGTAGAGACCGGTGCAACAAGTTGCTCTAACATAAACAATACTTGGCAGTGAGCTAGAAAAAAAAACAAGAGCACAAGGCTTAACAAGGAACCTGGATGATCAAATGGTTTGTGAGATGTTATCAGCATAGGTTGTCTATTGCTCAACGAGAACTTGAGGTGTTTAATATTACTGGCGTTGCACAATGGCAAGTTCGAGAGGTTAAAGGCAGGATTCGTAAACCCCTCGCATTACCAAATAATCTGGGCTGGACATCAAATCAGACTAAGGTCCAAGACTGGATTTCTCCTCCGATGGTTGGGAGGGGTGAAACGGGGGTAAATCTCCCCAAAACTGCTGTAGTCTGAGTCTGGCATTAGGACGGTGTCCTCTGAGAGACCCTTAATAATGTCGTACAGTGAGAAATATGTTCCCTAAAGTACATTGTGATCCTTAATGCCCATGTCTGTTCCAGTCAGTGCTACAAGGAGGATGGCACCTCTAAAAACCCAGACTGCCCAGTGTGCAGTAAATCTCTTAACAAGTTGGCCCAGCCTCTACCTATGGCCCACTGCGCCAATTCCAGACTAGTCTGTAAGATCTCTGGGGAGGTCATGAATGAAAACAACCCTCCCATGATGCTGCCTAATGGATACGTCTATGGCTACAATGTAAGTGCCTGCACCTTGGACTGTGTAAAGCTGTTTCTGTTAATGTGAAATCACTTCAACTCTCTGAACCCAAAGCTGTTTCTTCTTTTCACATAAAGTCACCTTAAAAGAAACAGAACAGCCAAGAAGTAGAGACATCTCAAAAATGTCTTCCATTCAGTGTGACAGTTACTTTGCAATTAATCATGCAACAGAGAAAACGCAGAAGTTGAATTATTTATTTATTCAACAGAAATTGAAAACATCTGACAACAATTTGTACAACAATTTTCCAAGTGCTCACAGTTTTTTTTCCAAATGAAACCTAAAGTCACACATGATATGTTCAGGGATGGGAAAGTTAAAAAAATCAGAGAGTTCTTTATGTTTTCACAGTTTCTGGTTCTGATAAATGGTGGCTCTGATAACTTTTTTTCAAGCACTATGTTTCTTAAACCTGCTGGTGGGTTTTGAGTTACACAGGGTTAAAAAGCAGAATGGACACAAGTCATAAAACTGTAATGTTTAATTTATTGTTCTCTGTCTATTATCTCTTCCAGTCCCTTCTGTCCATTCGTCAAGATGACAAAGTGGTGTGTCCTAGAACCAAAGAAGTCTTCAACTTCTCTCAGGCGGAGAAGGTCTATATCATGTGATCACTCAGATGAAACAACTGAGTGTTGACAAGATCAAATATGGCCTGTTGTCCATCACTTGTGACCTGGCCTACTCAGAGCCACCTGTGGAGCTGTGATCCAGTGCCCTTCTGCCCCCCACCCCCCACACCCCCCACAGACATACCTGAGATGCCCTTCAAGCCTCCCTGTCCCCCTTCCCCATTCATCAGCGCATCCAGTTTCCCCTCCCATTTGATCTCACAGAAACTGGGCTCTTCTCCTTTCAGACTCTGTTTTAGATGTGGCTAGAAGTCATTTGATCTGATCCATTCAAGCACATGGACTATCAACATTGTCATTATCTTACAGGCCTTCACTCTGAAGATTAGAGACAAGAGAAAAGGACTGATGGGGTGAAAAACTGCTAGGTAGATGTTTGATTTTACTACAACAAATAAAAAAAAAAACTTGTTGAGGTTACTTGGACTTTTTTTTTCCTTTTAGTAGTGGTGTTCCTTTGTTACTTAACAAGTGGCGGAGACGTATTAACTCAATGCATTAACCAGATTAACTCAAGATTTGGGCCTTTTTCTAAACAAACATGACTGCCTGTTCACATTTCATTATGTGGTGCATGCTGTCAACATCCCTTTGTCTTCTAGCCATGTTTTTAGTGGTTGTTGGAGGGAAATTTGTTAAATGCTTCCTTTTAAACTGCCTAACTTCTGAATTTTATCCTCCCGTTGACTGAAACTGGAGTCTAGTTTGGGCTGCAGTAGGCTCCTTTTCAAATGTAAATATTAGATAGGAATTGATCATCCTCATTTATACATTCAGGAGTTTTAGGGACAAGTTACGACAATGAAGATTAACCTTCTGTGAAGATTGCTGTGTAAACTGAACAAGTCTTTTCTTGGGTGTTACAAACTTGATATAGCCTGCAGTATCCTCAAGTTAACTGGTTCAGTATAATTTTTCATTTCTGAAAATCCTTATAGTTTCACAATTGGTGATATTAGTTACAGACTGGTGTTTTTGTTTTTTTTTTACCATCATGAAATTTAAACAAACTATTCAAACAAGAAAAATCACCTCTGATGTTTTTTGTTTTTTTTTTTCTTTCCAAATGAACAAACTGTCTTCCTTTGTTGTGTGCGAGATTTGGTCTTAACTTCATTTCAATCGATGCTTGATATTTATTTTGTCTAAAAAGGAGACCCTGGGTGATTTTTGTCAATTCAACATTGCACATCGTTTTAATTTGATTACTGCTTTCCCAATGAAGAACAAGATAACAAAAGGAGGGACTGTGCTCATAGTTTTTCATTCTTTTGTCTGCCTATGCGAAAGCTGCTTGCAGCACCAACACTACAGGGTTTACGAAGCATCAGCGTACACCAGCCTCATCATCACATCCTTCAGTTCCCGGCACATGCCCAACCTTTGTTTAGTACATGGTTAAAACCTCCACAACACTGTTGATTTACCAGTCCTGCCTTTACTAACAAAGTCAGAAGGAAAATCTTGTGGTCACCTGAAAATGTGACTCATTCTCATCCTTTATGACTTTGAAACTTACTGTAGATGATGGTATGTAATGTGGATAAACAGAGAATGAGTTTTGACTTCATTTTCAACAAATCACACTGAAATTTAACCCTGAACACCCATAGAACGCAATCCAAAAATGCAGATTTATGTTTAACATGATCAGTTTTGTGGTCAGTCTTTTCTTTCATCTGGTGTTTATCGACAAACTAAGTCGCCTCATTTGTGTCCATCAATGATTTGGAACTGTATCTGTGCAGACACAGACTGTCCTGTGTGTTTGTGTTGGTAGAATAGAAATAGGGATTGTTTCATGAGCAATATGTCTCATAAAGATTTCAGCGAACTTTGATTTCAGTGTTTCTTTATTTGCAATACCTGCTTTGCTCTGTGGGCTCTCTAAAACCAGCATTACCATAAGGTGTGGTAGGCGTGAGGAGATTACCGAGCAATTGGGACTCTGTTGACATGGAAATTCAACAAAGTGATGCGTCTCTCACTTAAAACTGCCTCTCTATTGTCCAAGGAGGTCAGCATTCTGCGTGGGGGTGGTTTTTTGTCCCCGGCAATGGAAAACATGCATACAGATGTGCTGTATGGTTGGTCATTCACCTGCAAAGTGGACTTCATGGCAGTAAAGAGACAGAAACCTAACTTGGCAAATTGATGAGGCAACACTATTGACTTGGATCTATTTGTTGCTCTATACAAAAGCCAAAACTTAAAAAAGAAAAACCCTTTGTAATCATACACTTTTGCTATGTAAAAAAAATAAAATAAAAAAAAAGGCTCCATAGACAAAGCCACTAATGAAGTGTGTTAGTAGATAGAAATGAACAACTTTAAGGATAAGATACATTTTCTCTTTATTCTGTAAAAATAAAATAGCAAAAATACAGTACATTTTCAGAACCCAAGACAACACCTTCAGTTTGCTTACCTTGGCCTACCAACAATAAAAATACCCAAAGATATTCAGATCGCAATAACAGTAGAAAACCAGCAACTTCTTACATTTCTATCTCTTAAAATTACAATTTCAAAATGTCATCAACCAATACATTTTCCGACGTGGCTCTTTAATAATAATAAAGGAGAATGAAGGCAATTTAAAACACCAAAGAAAGTGGTGTCATGTTCTGCAAAAAAAAGCTCACAAACTTTAAAGCTGCATTTGATCCATAAATCCTGTTTGGTTCTCAGATTGTTGCACTCTGTCATGATTCTAAAAATTAGGATTTTTTAAAATCAGATTTACTGATACCAGCAACTCAGTAACTTAGCCTATAGAAAAACCCAGTAATACCAGAGGCCCCGGTTTTAAGCTTTACACATGATGCATCATTTAACATTAAGGCACCATTATAACCTCACTTAGGAGGAGCAGAGGCTTTAAGTAGATAACAGGTAATAGAGCTGCAACAATGAATGTACTAGTTATCAGCTATTAAAATGGATCATCCGCTATTTTGCTAGTTGATTTTTATTTATTTATTTTTTTATTGTAGAAACTTTTAAATTCTCTCTCTTCACTTTCTTAAAAGTGTATAATTCCTGGTTTATTTCCTCTGTGACAGTAAACTGAATGTCTTTGGGCTGTCCACATTTGTCATGTTGGACTTCAGGACACTAACCCCACTATTTTCTTACATCCAAAGACCAAACTAATGAATTGATTGAGATAATAGTCGATTGATTACGAATCAAAATAACTGGTAGTTGCAGCAATATTAGATATCAGTTTATGTTCAAGAAAGGCAGTCGTTTGGTTTTCATGTTTAGGACGCCAGGTCCATAAGAGCAAAGCTGTCCTCCCCAAATGTAGCGCATCAAAAACACTAAAACGGTGTTAATTCATTTATATTGTTTTTTTTTTATTTATTTATTTTTAAATCACTAGCATTTAATAATGTAATGTCATACGTTTTAATCAAAAATATCGACTGTCCTTATTTCTACAAAAGAAGGAAGAGCGGCGCACAGAAGGCGGGGCCGACTTTCAGCTGCTGCGTCGTCACAGCTCGTCCGCTACAAATACAGCCGCCTTCTTCCTCCTCCGCCATCTTGAGATCAGCGCATTGTTGAAGTCGTTCGGAGATCTTCAGCGTATTCGAAAATGAGTGACCAGCTTTGTAAACTTTTCGTCGGTGGACTCAACGTGGACACCGACGACGATGGCCTGCGAAAGCATTTCGAGGGGTTCGGTACGCTCACCGACTGTGTTGTCGTCGTAAACAAGCAGCTGCAGCGGTCCCGCTGTTTCGGCTTTGTAACCTACTCCACGCCGGAGGAGGCCGACGCTGCAATGGCGGCTAGGCCGCACACCGTCGACGGCAACGCGGTTGAGGTGAAGCGAGCTGTGGCAAGAGAAGACGCCAACAAGCCCGAGGCCCTCGCTAAAGTGAAGAAAATCTTCGTTGGCGGCCTCAAAGACGACATTGAAGAGGAACATCTGACCGAATATTTCTCCCAGTACGGTCAAATCGAGAAGGCCGAAGTCATCTCGGAGAAGGAGACGGGAAAGAAAAGGGGCTTCGGCTTTGTGTATTTCACCGACCACGACGCGGCCGACAAAGCAGTTGTGGTCAAGTTCCACACCGTCAATGGACACAAAGTTGAGGTAAAGAAAGCCCTGACCAAGCAGGAGATGCAGGCAGCCAACAGATCCGGGATGGCGCCGAGGGGAAGACCTGGTAGAGGCATGAGGGGAGGTCAAAATGGCTACGGCAGGGATTATGGCGGAAACTACAACTACGGAAATGGAGGCTACAACTGCAGCGGAGGATACGGCGGAGGGTACGGCGGACCATATGGGGGCTATGGTGACCAGGGAGGCGGCTATGGCGGTGGAAACGGCTACAGCGACTTTGGCACCGGCTATAACCAGCACTCTTCAAGCTACGGTCCCATGAAAGGGCCTTTTGGCGGCCAGAGGAGCGCTGCTCCCTACAGCAGAGGCGGCGGCGGTGGCTACCCGAGGGGGGCCTACGGCGGCGGCTACTAGATGAGACTGCACCGTGGAAAGCAACCAACCCAACCCCTGCCACCAATTACTCCCAGCCAGGATTTGGACGCCAAAACTCAAAGTCAGTAACGAGGCGTCTGCCGTGCAATCCGACCATGGCAGAGATACGGACAGAGATCCCCTTATCATAATGAAGACCTCAAAAACCCAAACAGGTAGGAAGGTCACTTCCCAGAACACCTGATAATAACGAGCAGCAGTTGTTGCCGTTCGACTAGGACACATTAACGAAGAATTACACAGCGATCCCCTTTTATTATGTAACCACGCCACTGGCGTGTAGTTGTCGTTTAGAGTTGAATTATTTTTTATTTGCGTTCATTCGTTGTTTTGAAATTTCAATGTAGGATTGTTTTGCTTACAAGTTCTGATTATTTTAATATTTGCATTTTACGCAGTTTAGATTCGACTTTGTTTTCTGGAATAAATTTAGTGTGATTTCAATGTATGAGGATGAGAAAGCATGTTATGTGGTTTTCATAGCTATGTCATTCTGATATCAGTTTGTATAATTACTTACCTGGATCATTCAGCAAAGGCGGGAACGTGATACTGCAGGATCCAGTTTCCTTGTTTCCTTCCCCATTATTGTACTTAAACTCCTCACTCATAGTCATAGTTTCAGTCTAAATATTGTTCATTTTTCACTACCTGTAGCAATATCTAATGTATATTGTATACTTTCATGTCTGCAGAACAAAACCTACTGTTAAAACACTTTGGTATGCTTATGTATGTTCATTTTAAATAAAACGTTATACCACTTAGCTTAGTTATTTTACTTATTTAACCAGGCTTCCTCAAGTTCATCCACAGGTTTATAAGACATCATCTTGTTCTTTAGTTACATGGCATCATTCCCACAGTTTATTCCCTTACTCTCAGGTGGGTGAAATGGTTACAGAATGGTTGTAGTCTACCCACGGCCAATGCATGTAGGCTTTGTAGGGTGTGACCTTTTGTTTTAAAGTTATGTGGTTTTTCTTTTTCTCTCTCTCTCTTTTGTTTTTTTTTTTGTTTTTTTTTTTAGATACTGCTAATATGACTTAACATTTTTCTTTTTTTTACATTCTTCAATACATATCTATATGTGGACATGAGGGCGCTGATATTTATCTTTGATTATTCCTACATTTAGGTGTTCTTACTCGTATTCCAGTAGGCTATCCCAGCCATAATAGCCGTAGCAGTTTGTTTGTAGGCTACATCAGGACCCTGTTGATTACCTGGGGTCGATTGTGATAGGAGTCTGAAATATCTCTTTAGGATATCCACATCCAGCAAACTAGGTATGTAAATCAACCTGTCTTCACTCTGTGTTGGTCAACAATGTATGGAATATCTTTGAGATGGTACACAAGTGTGCCATTATTTAATCTTAACTTATCAGCTCAATATAGCTAAACATAATATAGCTAATCTTAAAATAAACATGGGTGGGGTGGTAATTAATTGGTCTATAATGAACTTAAGTGGGTGGAAGGGGACCCACATTTTGTTTCACAATTTAATAAAATAATGGAACAAATAGATTGGTGTCTCCTCCGGAGAAATCATGCTCAGTCCAGTTTCTCACTCTGTTTTTCTCCCATTTCCTCCAGGTTGCTACGGTAACCTGGCCAAGAGGACATCACCCTGAAAACGATGGGGTGTGTGTCTCCACGCTGACGGGGGACCGGAGAGTGGTTGTGCCTTCTCCCCCTCAGGTGAAGTCAGTTTTCACAAAGGATTCCCCAGTATGGTCAAAAGCACTTGAAAGAGTCAAACATAACTGTTTTCTGAAGATGTGTTGGATTTCAGGTTTTCAGAGGTTTTGATAACACAGCACTATCATACTTTATTCTTTCCATTCATTAATGGACCTGCAAAGTGAACTGTCTACTCAAAATACATGCCTGGGGCTTCCAGTGTTATTGGTCTTGTGACACCTCAATGCAGTCTTTCCTTTGTAGGTTATTTGATCTGTTGGACCAGGAGTGATCTCCAAACTAGCTGTAACTAGTTGTGGTGTTTTAAATCTTCATGACAGATGCAGGAGGCTGAGATGTGACAAACTTCACGATATCACTCCAAGCTTACAGTGTCAGACTTGGAACATCATTTTGCAACAACGGTGGCCAAATAGAAAATTAACCTTGAGGTTGAAAACTGCTGACCGATTAAATGTCCAGAAGAACAAATTTGCATCTTGGTACTGTGGGTTTCAAAATACAGTGTTTTAGTATTCTTATTAAAGATCTAACAGGATATTTAAATTTCACAAATGTGTGTGCCTTTACTCAATATGACTACTTTTTCTTTTGAGTAGGGAAAAAGCTGTCCTTAAA